CGTTTCTCATGTCCGTCGGCGTCAACGATAATCAGTACTTCCCGACCTTTCTTATCTACTTCTATGCGCGTGCCGAGTTTCTGTGTCGTTCCGATCTTGCGAAATCGATCACCCAAACTGGGTTCAGCTTGTGCCTTGGCCGCTGCCCTCGCCGCCTTCATATCCGCCAGGATTTGGTTTCTTGTCCTCTTCTTTCCCGCTGCAACTGTAGATAGTTGGCCTTTCTTCTTGTCAGTCTTTTCCCTTTCGATCGCATGAATCTCTTGTGATTCGAGCATGTCAAAGGCATCATCCACATGTGTGTCATCTTCTTGGGCCTCTGAATTTGTTGACCCAGATGGCTTCTCGTCGTATACGTCTTCCCCCTTTCTTACTCGCTCAAGAAGCTTAAAATCCAGTCCCTTGACTAAATGTGTACTCTCCAAGTCGCCCCCTGCAATCTGAAATCGTAGCTTCTCATATGTCTCCTCGTCAATTTCTTCCTTCTTGTACGATTCTTCGAGGGCCTTTAGTCTCGCTTCTCGGTCATCGATTTCGGCAGTCGCTCGATTTCGCGCGCGGTCGACATAACCCTCTGCGAGCCTGACGCCTTTGGGCGCCGAGGTTCTAACCTTTTTCTGTGGCCGCTCAGACTGGTTGCGTTCGGCAAGCTGTCGAGCAAAATCGCTTTGATGGCCTGCAACAGATCGCCTATATTTTGATTAGAATACAACTTCACGGTACCTTGGGCGAGACGGGCACTCACGGTGTCATGGGCATGCTGGATCGCTGCCGGGATCCAAGAGCTGTGCCTCCACCACTGGGTTTTGCGACGGGAGGAGAAGGGTCATTTTTTGAGCCGGATGCTTGCTTCGAATTGGCAAGCATCAGCTTGCGGAACTGCTCGTTGTTCATGATGGCGCAGGCCGGCCAATCAGCCAGCTTGCCAGTGACGGAGGCTGCTTTGATGTGCGGAGAGGAGAGATTTCATCCTCGTCGTGGAAGGACTGGAAGGTTTGCCTGGCCAGGAAGAACTACTGTCTCTGGCCTCCAGACTCTCGGTGCACGGCGTCAAGTACCTAGGTACGTACCCACAAAGTTACGGAGCAAGCCACATGCAGCAACCAGTCACGGGATGACGTGTGAAAGGCGCGGTGCCAGTTCTCCACTATACACGGTCTGCCACCCCTGCAAGTTGCCATCGTGCTCTCATGTTCATCAACATCACGCCGTTTCTTCCATTTCGAAAGCAACATTTTTTGGATATCTCTCCTCGACTAACACCTCGCACCACGCAATAAACCCAGTCGCGTAAATTAATGGCGCATCGTGTCTCAACGCTCGCGACGAAAACATGACCACTCAGATCATGATCGAACCACACGTTGCCAGACTTGCTCTTCTTCCCGAACCACACTTCCGGGCATAGCGGATACAATTTGCCACACTCACGATGGGCAGCGTATTGGAAAAGAATTCGTCTCTGGTGCGCAAGAGGATAGAAGATCACAAGTTTCAAGATGAGGAGGGTGACGAGTACGAGGGTAGCAAGTTTGGTGGATTTGGCGACTACTTCCGCCGCAAGAAGATCAAGCTGCAGAATCTCGACGCCGATCTGCGTGCCGCTTCTGACAAACCTCAGATTTTCAAGGGAATAGTTGCTCATATTACCGGCTATACTCAGCCGCCCCTGCATGTGTACGCCCTCTGCCGTGTCACTCCCAGTTTGACCTGTGCTGACTCGAATGTAGCCTTCATCGCGAAATCGTGGAGCACGGCGGCGGCTTCATTCAATACTTGGACTCGAAGACAATGGCTACCCATATCATTGCTTCCACTCTACCTCCGAAAAAGAGCGTTGATTTTGGCCGATACCGGATCGTCAAACCCGCATGGATCGTCGACTCGGTGGCCGCTGGCAAGTTGATGCCATGGGGCGATTATCGTGTGCTGGATGAAGGACCGAGACAAAAGGTCCTCAGATTTGATGATGAACGAGGCATGACGCAGGCCAGTCCAGAAGCTAGGCGGGGATACAAGGAGCAGACCGACAATAGCTTCTACACATCACAGTTCAAGTCGTCTACAACTGATCCCAGTCAGTCTTTGAGCCATTTCGCAGAAGAGACACCAACTCCATCAAAGCCCCCAGTTTCGCTCGCTGCCAACGAACAACAGAAACCGACCGATAGATGCCAATCTCTGGTGACGTCTTCTGAATCCTACCTCTGCAGAAGCATAGAAAGCCAGGGTGTAGTGACACCCACCCGCCATGACACCCAGAATCATAAAGTTATGGGACCTCCAGAACAAAGTCGTGCAGTAGTCAATGCTAGGAGTCCCTCTCCAGTTGTGGAGCCAGCCAAAGAAATGACGTCTGAGGAACACAATGCTTGGTTGTTATCAGACCCCCGTTTACGCAAGTCATCGACAGCAAACCCCGAGTTTCTCAAGCAATTTTACTCCGAAAGCCGACTGCATCATCTCTCCACCTGGAAGGCAAGCCTGAAGTCAGCAATGCAGCGACTAGCTGCCGAGAAAGGGTTAACGCAAAGGATGTTTAAAAAGAAGCCAGGCGCGCGGGGCTACATTATGCACGTTGACTTTGACAGTTTTTTTTGTGCTGTATCGCTGAAGAAACACCCCGAGTATGCCGACAAACCTACCGTTGTGGCACACAGCAGTGGCCCAGGGTCTGAAATTGCAAGCTGCAATTACCCAGCCCGCGAATTCGGAGTCAAAAATGGAATGTGGATGAAACGGGCTACAGAGCTGTGTCCTGATCTCAAAGTTTTGCCATACGACTTTCCCGCGTACGAAGAAGCTAGTCGGTTGTTTTATGACTCAATTCTGTCTATCGGAGGAGTCGTGCAGAGCGTCAGTGTTGACGAGGCTTTGATAGACGCTACTGCTGTTGTGTACTCTACGTCGGACTCCCAGGGCATTGGCATTGATGAAGGAAATGTCTGGCGAGAACAGGAGAAGGCAGATGAGATTGCTGCAAGGCTCAGAGAGAGCATCAAAACCAAAACCGGATGCGATGTTTCTGTTGGCATCGGTGGTAACATTTTACAGGCCAAAGTCGCGCTGCGAAGAGCCAAACCAGCCGGGCAATTTCAGCTCAAGCCAGAGAGTGTCCTGGATATCGTGGGCGAATTGACAGTCGAGCAACTACCTGGTGTTTCTCACAGCATCGGCGGAAAGCTTGAGGAGCTGGGAATCAAATTTGTCAAAGACGTTCGGACCGTGTCAAAGGAACGTCTTGCTGGTGCCCTGGGACCAAAGACCAGCGAGAAACTCTCAGACTATGCTCGCGGCATTGACCGAACCGAGGTTGGAGAGCAGCCACCACGAAAGTCCGTGTCCGCTGAAGTCAACTGGGGAATTCGGTTCATTAGCCAACAAGAGGCAGAAGAGTTTGTGTTCAACTTGTGCAAGGAGTTGGAGAAGCGTCTTGTGAATGAGCAGGTCAGGGGCACGCATCTCACCATGAAGATTATGCGAAGATGCCTGGACGCACCGTTGGACCCGGCCAAACATCTGGGCCATGGCAGGTGTGACACTTTCAACAAGAGCGCAACATTTGGTGTGGCGACGCACAACTCTGAAACTATTGGTAAAGAGGCCGTCGCTATCTTGAGATCATTCAAATTTAGTCCTGGTGATTTGCGTGGTCTGGGCGTGCAAATGACCAAACTGGAACCGATCAAGGCACAACAAGCCCGGCCCACCCAGAGTAGTCAACGGACACTGAACTTTGGTCCGTTTGTAGGTCCCTCTTCCGCGAAGAAGCCATCCCGAACTGAGGCCATTGATGACATCGAAAGCCCGCAAAAGCCGAAGCGATCTCCTGGCCATGGCATAGACGCGGATCCCATTGCCGATGATCCACTGACGCCTCGCAAGCCAAAGGTTCACCCTGCTATGGCACTGTCAAAGGCCGCACAGGAAGATGCCAAAGCCAACACTCCGTTGAATGTATCCGGGACTCAGTTTATTCTCCCTAGTAACCCGGATCCCGCCGTCATTTCTGAATTGCCGAATGACATCAGGAGTAGGTTAATGGGACAGCGATCCCGACAGAGTCCTGCTCCAGAAGTACCAAGATCGGAAGGCCCTGCATCTATGGAGGCGCTGCTCCCTTCACAGATCGATGCGGACGTCTTCAACGCTCTGCCTGATGATATGAAAGCCGAAGTCCTGGCCACGTATGGACGAAGACCTGCTGTACCCCAATCTCCACGGAGAGACCAACATCTTGTCCAGCCACGGAAGCAAACGACGCCTACCAAACAAGGTGGCATCCGGAGCATATTTGGCAAGGCCCAGCGTCAACGAGATGCACAGACCGGGGTGGTTCAGACAAACTTCAGGACACTCAGGCCGGGGTCTGAGAGCCCCATCGTGGAAGATATTGAGGAGCTGGACGCCGAGTTCCTCGCCGAGCTGCCGGAGGATGTGCGCAAGGAAGTAGTTGCTGATCACCGCCGCCGAAGAATGGCCCTCCGATCAGGCCTTGACGCTCCACCGCGGAGACACACTACTTCAGATACAGAGAGTGTCTTGCCTGGTGGTCAGAGGAAGATAGCCTTTCCCGCCCCTCCGCGAAAAGTAGCGTTTGCCAGCTCAGGAGTCACCTCGACACGAGAAGTCAAGGACATGCTTGATGCCTGGCACACCCAGACACGGCATGATGGGCCACACAGTAATGATGTAGAGGTATTTGACAAGTACTTGCAAAAGGTAGTCAAGGAGGAGCGAGACCTTGAAAAGGTCGTCATTCTCATCAAGTGGCTGCATATCCTTGTGGAACAGGATGGAAGTCCGGGAAGGGGACAGGAATCATGGCGCGAAGCTGCAAAACAGGTCGAAAGTGCTGTGCAGGCTGCTGTGAAGGAGCGGGGATTCGGGCCATTGGATATTTAACTCATGACTTGATGACAACCATTGTAGATTTTGTATTAGTATACTGAGTAGTAGGCCACCCTCAAGGCCAATGGACCGGGAAACGTCTTACTTTATCACGTATCTTCGGCTGTATTTCCGAGCGTATATATATACCTAATCATCCTCATGGGAGGTCCTTCGCTTGCTGGGTGCAAAAAGAACCTGTTGAACCCAACTTGGAGGGTTGAGTCCGACGTAGAGGAAGGGCGCTCTGCATCGTCGCCATTCTCCAATTCGGCGGAATCAACTTTCGCAGGCGGTCTTTGTTGAGATGGATTCAAGGCGTCAGACGCCTGGTCATGATTTGATGCAACCGGAGAAGGAGGCCCAGGAAGCGGCCCAAAAAGACATGGAGGCACAGCAGGTGCCTTTCCCGCTTCGTGGTTGCCGTTCACAATTGGGCACGCAGGAGCAGGGCCGTCGGCGCCTTCCTCCTCAAACGGTCGGTTCCTCATGTTCCCACGACATAGGCAGTATCCCACATTTTCGGTTTCAAATCCCTCATCTGGTCCGGGTCTTGTTAAGATTTTCGTATCACGGCGGATGAACACTGAAGTCTTCTGTGACATGTTTCGACAAGTCGCAGGGTTGGTTAGCGGCAAGCTTGGCCCTACTCTCATCGTGCACGTAGTGAGGCTCTGTCAGACGTCACTGTGTTACACAAGGGCTATGATCACGAGACTTGGGCATCAGGCTCACCGCTGCTTTGATAGAGCTCTTTAGGTTAGGTCATCAAGGCGTTTAGAAAACCAAGGACTTTTAATACTAAAGAATGTTGTGAGTAGCTATAATTACTAGAAAAAGTAACGATGGTATCAGATTAATTACTTAAACCTTTTAGTAAATAAGGTGAGGCCTCTATTGATTACCGTGACTAACATGCCTACGAAAGCCTGACACCCAATAAGGGAGAGAATATGCTAGAGGGGCCAACAGTTTACTCCTCACATATGCAGAGTCCTCACTCGTCGTCCTGCTGCCAAGCAGTATTCGTTTTTGGCTTCATCTATTTTCTTGGACTCAGCCGCCCACACCAAAAGCAATATCACTAGCGTAAGCATGACCAATAACCAGAAACAGTAAAGAAACAGAGGAGAAGAAAAAAGGCCCCCCCCTCGGCTACCGCTGCCGAGATCAAATAAGACAACTGTTTCCGGGCACGATGGATAACATCACCCATCAAATTTCCGAGTATGCCCGGCGGGTAGAACACACAGAGGAACCACTGGTGGGACAAGACGTGCCTCTTACCGAGTATCAACTCGTCATAAGAGGAGGCCCGACAAGTCAGCCAGAGACAGGGTCCAAGTCGAACGGCAACGTTGAACCGGCCGCCCATGACCAAGACTTGGACGCCTGGGAGACAAACGAAGGCACGGTCCGCGCCAGCGTCGTCGTCTGGCAGCCAAGTTACCAACTCCAACTCTGGCCACCGATCGAAGCCATCGAGGTTGATATTGCAGACGAGCAGATTGCTATATCGGCCAGCGCGATCGAGACTTGGGAAATCCCAGGGGCCACCTTTAGCTACGCCAAAACCCTTCACATGCCATACATGGGCGCGGGCGTGGTGGATATCCCCCCCGGCGGCGAGAAGAGAACTAAGAATACGAGAATGATGCAAATGGTGTTTTTTGTGCATTTTGGAAAGGTCTTGGTGACGGTCCACCAGACCAGGTTTCGAATCTCGACTGGTGGCATCTGGACTGTGCCTAGGGGTGAGTTTCTGTTCGGCCCGGGGTTGTGTATATGTGCCGAGGTGTGCTGATTGCTTCTAGGGAATTATTATGGCATTGTGAATGACGGTGAAGGTCCTGCGAGGATCTTCTTCTCGCAGGCGTGCGAAACCATGCCCGAGACTTTGTGATGATACAGGACCAGCTCTCTAGGTATCTCCGTATTATGCAGATCCTCTAGTGAGTTTAAAAGTTGCATGTCAGGGAACTTTTATCTTTTTTGTGTATCCTTTCTGCCCATCATGTCGTCCTTTAGGTAGACGTGGTCGACTTCCAAGCCTGGTAGTTAGTCTCATAAGCCCGTCTCGGGCCCCCGATGCAAGATTCTCCCCTTGTTCTTGTTTGCAGGCGCTACTATATACAATACAACATCCCGCCTCCCAAGTACCATGTACACCCAGTGGTAAATATGCTCCATGCAGAAAACCGTCGAGCTCGAGAGCCAAGACTCACAACCATGCAAACGCAGCCACAAGGGAAAGAAACGACGCCAAAAGCACGGGCGAGGCCTGGGCACCCGCACTTGACATCCTGTAGACGCTCAGCTTGAGAGACCCTCCGCAGGCGAGTGAAGTGTTCCCCTCGCAGGGAAAGTTGCACTCTCCATCGTCGAGCTTTGCCGAAATACCGGCTATGCTCTGCGCACACCAGCACTCCCTGCCAAGGTCAGCTTCTCGCGCTCCCCCCCCTTTTTACACGCCAGAGTCGTGTCCAAGTTTCTTCGTCGCGACTTGGTCAAACTCACCTGGCCCATTCTAGCCCTGCATAGCGATAATGAGCGCCATTCTCCCCATTATTGCAAAAGTCAAGACACATCGGTACCGTCATCTCGCCCTTCTTGACTTCATTTGCGCCGCCGGACAAGGCGCGTGAGTGGTCGGAGCCTTCGATTTCAGTCGTTTCGTTGTAGCACCCGTAATAGGTGTACGTTTTGGATTCCCTGTAGGTTTGCACGGCAGAGCTCTGCTGAGCTGCTGCGAGGGTGAGAGAAGCTAGGAGCAGAAGGAGGCGGAAGAGTATCATGGCGAAGCACCGGGCGACAGGTAGTAGGAGAATGGCCTGTAAGATGGGCACAGGTTACGACTTATGCCCTTGGGGAGCAATTGAGTCTGCTGTGCGGCAGATGATGGAATCGGACGTCAGGGGCTGGGCAAGGCCGTGACAGGCAATTTGTTGTTCAATTTCCGTTTAGCTTCATGGATCATGAGAGGCTTAGTCAGAGGCTGATGCGGCTGGACGCACGCACGGCCAAAACTTGGCTGCAACCTGCATGGTTTAATTTGAGTGTTTCTTGGAATGGATCATACATCGTCAGACTGGTGCCATGTGCTGTGAGTCTATGTTTTTTTCCTTTGTTCCGAAGTTCAAGTAGATGGCAACCTTCTCATGTACGCCGACCCAGTGAGTCGCAAGTCGTGACTCGCGACTCGTGACTTGTGACTTGAGAGTCGAGACTGGTCATCACCCGACGGCCAAAGTTGCCGCCAGAAACTTTTGCTTTATTACCATTGAATGCAAAAGTCATCAGAACAATAGTATTTACAGAAATCTTCCTGCCAATTGCCCCCCGAGTAGAGAGATCGACATGGCCCATTTGGCGCTCCCTCCCCGGTGTCCCCGCCGCTCAATTGCGCCTCTGATTCAATTTCCCCCAACTTCTCTCACCTCAACACCATCACCGTCACCACTTGACCACGAGCCAACATGGCCCAAGACGTCAGCCTCCCTTACAATATATGCGTCTTCATATCAACCCTCTTCCTCCTCGAGTTTGCCACCGACAAATTCATATCCCACGCCGCCACATTAGCCTCCGTCATTAACGTGTCAGAACTCCTCATTGGATTGGTTACCGCCGGCGCCGAATGGGAAGAAGTAGGTTCTCACTCACTTTGCTGCCGCATATCCCCATCTCGCATTCACCATATAATAGTACACGTTGACAAAGTCAGCTCGCCGTGGTAGTCTCCTCCCTCGGGCAGGGCCGTTCGTCCCTTGCCCTCGGCAATGTCATTGGCGCATCCATATCCAATATCCTGGGTGCCTTTTCCTTGGGGCTGCTTTGCTCCAGGAACATTGAGTTTGATCGCGGCTCGCGCATCTACTCTCTGCTGACACTTGTGCTGACCACGCTCGTTGTTCCCGTCGTGTACTATTCCAGCAGAGTTGCGTGGATTGTTTGCGGATCCGTCTTGATCGTCGGGTTTGTCGTCTACTTCGTCTCTGTAGGTGTCGCCGTCGTCAAGGGCGTCCTTGCCGCTCCCGAGGACTCGGACTCGGACGACGATCAAGATGAAGATGAAGATGAAGACACTGAACGGACAGCCCTCATCGGCAATCCTTCTCCAAGCCCGCTCCGTCGCTCCGTCACCCATCACACTCTCCAACTCATCTTCGGCATTGTCGCCCTCGCCCTGTCAGCGTACATTCTCTCGCACGCTGCGGCGAATATCACTACGCAGTTGCACATGTCTGACATCTCATTTGGCGTCGTTATCCTCTCCATCGCAACTACGCTTCCTGAGAAATTGATTTCCGTCGTGAGTGGATATAGAGGGCATGGTCAGATTCTAGTAGCAAACTGCGCGGGGAGCAATATCTTCTTGTTGTCGTTGTGCTGTGGTATCATATTGATTAGTACCGGCGGAGAGCTGGACAGAGGCACAGTGACGATTGGGGAGCTGACCGTCCTTTGGGTGTCTACGCTGACTTTTACAGTGACAGTGTGGCTCAGGGGGAGGGGAGCCAAGGCAGTTGGGGTTGTCATGATTTTGGCATACGTCGCATTCATAGTATTGGAGTATACAATCGCCCATCGGGAAGGCGTCTAGCCAGGTATTGCAACCATGGTGGCATGGTGTCGATGCAGAGTCTCGCCAACTAGCCTCCAGCGCGTACCCCCGTCTTTCTTTTACAATTCGCCGCCTGAGCAGGCAATGTCTACACCACATATCCCCTTGTCTGCTTCTTGTCCTTCAACTTGATATCCCTCCAAACCCACGTACACGCCCAGGCGACTACCACAAAGCATGTGCTCGTGATCAGCATATACCGCTGCGACTCGGAATACGCCTCAGAAATGGCAATTCTCTCCTCTGATCCGGGTTCATAGCTCATCTGAATAGGCAGACTGCCATAGATGCTATCAATCGGCGCGTCGGCAGGTAGTCGCTTCCTCAGGGCGTCCTTGAATGTCCCCGCCCAGATTGCGGATGAGATTGCTCGTCCAATAGCATTGCCAACGCCAGAAAACAAGTCGAGGATCGCAATGATGACGGCAATATGTTGATGGTCTGAAGGCGCCATCATGGCCATTTCGCCGGCAATAACGAGTGGGCCGCCGGCAAAGGCCACAAATATTTGGGTCATGATGACAAAACCGAGACTTTGGCTGGCTCGTCGAAAGTATATCATGAGACCGACGCCGAGGAGCATGAGGGGCAGGGCAAACATGGTGCCGACCCATTTGAATCGCCCCGTGAGATGGATCAGGTAGCCGATGACCAGGCCAGAGAAACACGATCCAACCCTGTAAATGTTGGAAATGTACGTCGCTTTTGTCACGCCCGTGTTCCAGACAACGAGCAGCATAGAGGTAAAGAAACTCCCCCAGATGAGTGAGTTGGCAAATACAAAGAGAAACATGAGGCCGGCGAAGAAGACGGTGCGGTCGGCAAGGAGACGCAGTGGGATAAAGGTGACTGGAGCGCCAAATTTTTCCCAAAGCACAAAGACGCCGATGAGAAGGCCGCCCACGACAATCATGGAGATGACAAGAGCGCTTCTCCAGCCATCGTCTTGGTACTGGTACAATGCGAATGGGAGGAGGAACGATGCCATGCCGGCAGCCAAAAGGAGCAGGCCAATGAGATCGACGTCAATGACGAACCTCTTGACAGCACCGAGGCTGATGTCCCGAATGGAATTCTTTGGGGCCAGGCCCTTCTTCTCGGCCTTGTTCTGGTTCCATGCAAATACGAGCACTAGCGGCAGCACCACAACCGGTGTGATGATTGCCCACATGCCAAACCCCCATTCCCAGCCAGGGCCTTTGATGACGCTCGTGGCCATCGGTCCACCGATCCAGGTGGTGACAATATAAGGGGATGTTGCAAAAGCCAGCATGAGGGGTCGGTTTAGAAGGCTCGTTGTATCGGCGATGAAGATAGTTAAACAGTAGCTCACACCCTGTGATCTGTCATGGAGTCAGCATTCAGCTCGGCCGCCGACCGCACCGTCACATCTCAGCATACCCAGTTTGCGCAAACACTTGCGCTGCCGCGTACGTCTCAACATTCTTACACGCGGCCATCATGACCATGCCCATAACCCAAAAGGCCAGAGCCAGTGCCATACCTTGCGGCCGGCCGACAGTGTCCAGGATTTTGGCAATGGCCAGCTTTGAAAGACCGCCAACGATGCTGGATATGATGCCCATTGCCGCAGTGAGAGAATGCTTTTGAAACGTGCTAGTAACAAAAGGGTCCAACGTGCGAAAAACGACTTCCATGATGGAGAGAATGAAGTAGATGAGCCAAATACTGCGCCGTACATGTTACCAGGCTGGGTTGTTGTTCATCGATAAGCAGCGAAGGGGTCTACTTACTTGGCAAACGCAGCTACAAGATGCCATTTTGTCCAAACAGCAGCCGCAGCTTCAACTTTCTTGACGCCATCTTGCTTCCCTTTATCAGATGCTGGCCTTTCCTCGTCCTTTTCCAACGAGTCCATCGGTATCTCAGAGCCGAGCCCAGCCATATCCTGCTTTGTCTCTGCTGTATTCTCCGGACAGGCAGCGTATCGAGAAAAGATGCCCATTTTCGACAACGCCTTGTCTCTTTCTACTATGGCACTGACTTTGATCGTGGGGAGGTTGTAGAGGGCCGCGCGCTTAAGGCATGACATGTCCCGAGACAAGACCAAATGCAAGGGTAGCTCCCCAAAGCTGTCAAACACTTCTGTATCTCCCCCTCCCCAAAAATGAAAAATTCCCAATCCACAAAGTTCCACTCAATCCTGTCATGTATGTGAGATGACTGACGGATGAGTTGGAGCATGCGGCTAACATCTCTCCGGCCACAGCCGAGGTCACCGTACCGGTTGCAGCTCTGTCATGGCGACATGCCGAAACCCATGCCGATGAAAAATCTTATCAATCAGGAAAACGATGCGGATCCGGTGTTCCAGGCCTGAAATTGTTTCAATAGCGCCGGTGTGGCGCCGACCCATGAACAGCCGGTGACCCGGCATGGAACCAGGATGATTTTCTTGAGAGATGTGCCAAGGTTCCCGAGGATGCGAAGTGGTGGGGGATTTTTTCTCCCTTTCGCTTAAGCATAAGAGATGACATGCTTGTGGTTATGTATGCAGCTCCGGTATTTCCAGTTTTAAATCTCCTCGTGGTAACCAATCCCGAACTTGAGATTCTTTGTTCTATCAGGAACAGCTCACAATATCACCATCTCCAACACCCGCAGAAGCAGGGCAACAAAGCATCAAGTTCTGCATTCGTACACTTATTTTCCCATCCGAATCTCGCCATGAAGTCAACTCTGCTCCTCTTGGCCTGTGCCTTTACCGGCAGTGTCGTCGCGCAGAACAGAAAGGACTACTTTCCCGAGTGCTCTCTCAAGTGTCTCGATCAGGCTACGAAACAGGCCACAGACTGCTCAATGGACGATGCCGTCTGTATGTGCGTACAGAAGAACTATGAGGCCATCTACAACGCTGGCGTGAACTGCGTTCTGCAAGCATGTGGCCCAGATGAAGCTGTCGGTATGTTTGCATCTTGCTCAACGACTTTGTATCCCGGCCCAACTCACACAGTGGTGTAATAGGCAAGGTTCTGCCCGCCGGCGCAAAATTCTGTGCTGCTGCCACTGCTCAGGCCAAGGCTGGAGGTGCTTCAAAGACTACTGCTCCCACGGCGACTGGTCCAGCCACCGGAGTCGTGACTGGGGACGCTACTTCTGCTGCCTCAACACGATCCTCGGCTGGTCAGGCCACTAGCACCTCGGCTCCCG